GCGAGAGGCGAGATGGAATGGACCAAATCAGTCCATTCCTCCCTGTTGTTAATGTGGCGCGCTTGAATCTGCCACCGCATGTTAAAACTCGTGGCTTTAAAGAAATCCACGTAAATGGACATTTCAATTTCTATGCTCAGTATGATGCGTTTACGTGCTGGCTTTCAGGTTGACCGAAATTCAGGATTAATGGTCCTTTCTTAACGCGGCAGTCAAACACTCTCACACACGATAGACAGGAACCACCATGTGTGGGGCACAGTCCGAATTCCCAAAGATCCGTGTGTCTGCATTAGATTTCCTCAGATCTATTTGTACTCTACGGGAGATACTTTAAGCGCATCAAGGCGGCATTCTTATGATAACAAACCCGGGTTCTTCTCACCATTTACCTTCATCTATGAACCATCATTATCAGCTTACATACGAAAAACATAAGAGGAAAAATAGGTATTTCTCATCAACAGAAATACCCTCTTAACTATTATGTGGAGCAGTAGGTAAATGCGTGTGTTAGACTGGAAGGTTCATTTTTCAAATCTTCCTTCTACTGTTGTTTCCGCTCTTGTAGGAGTTATAGGGCCAACTATTTACAATGCGACGTTTCCAGTTAGAAGTTCTGATTTAGGACTCGCTGCCGGTAGGACTCTCGCCTTCGTGGGACACTGAAGTTAAAACAAAACATCGGTTAATACGCACCTCCACCTTCAAAAGCGACTACGTTCGTAGTATGTGGCGTTCGGCATGAATATGTAAATTTAACGGTGCTAAACGACCAAATCCTATGAAAAGTGTTACTTGTAGATGGTTGAAATGGAAAGAACAAACATGCTGCTTGGACTTGAGTGGACAGACTTGACAAGAAGTGTTGTGGATAAAGTGAACGTTAGATTCGCAATTTCAGATGAAAAGTCTGGATAAGTAGAATAACAGAAGACGGCAAAAGTTAAAATTCAGAAACTCCTGGGAGCTGTTCATTGAGTAGGAAGGGAAAACGAGATAGGAAAGTTGACACGAAGAGAAGGGCGGACGAAATAAGAAAAGACATAGAAATGGACAGTATTCAAGGACTATTGAAAGCCCTGATAGAACGAAAACGGTATGGCCAAACATACCAACGGTGTGAATTAACTTTAAGCTCAAATGCCTTGAGGAGACATCCGTTATTTCAAAAAATCATAATTAGCCATGGTCCAATATCCCCACGAAACATTTTCTAAGGAGGAAGAGTGTTAAAATGAGGTCTGTGATTCCGTCAGGAGAGTGGCTAACGTGTAGAATGATAAGTCAGCTAGAGAGGAAGCAGTGCAAAGCACAGCTCTGGAGCCACTGGACGAAATAAGGAAGAAGGCATTCCTCAGGATTTGTGGCTATCAAACTAAGGAAGTAGATAGTTTCAGAATACCTCAGGGAATGTTGCTTCTGAACGCACAAAGCAAAGATAGCCTCGGCTGACGAATCCATGCTGTTCGTCGGGTATTTGCAGCCCTCAAAAAATGTAATTGGACGGGACCAGACATCGCTATCACTACAAAGACCCGCATATACCGGGTTTCTGTCCAATCACTCCTATTCTGTCGGCGACTGTGTGTAACAAAATGTTAGCGGATAAACCGAAGGACTGTTCACAACTGTCTACTCCTGGTTATTGTAATATAGCGAAATGCCTTCCTTACACCGCCTTTAATGAAATATAATCTTGGAAAATAAACTACCAGTACTGTATTCTAACTCAAAACCATAAGAGGTGACGGCAGAAAAGCGGTTTTAAGTATTCCACACGAAGTATTTGTTAAACAACTTTCAAAAGCATAATCACATATAAGCTGACTTGAAAATCTACCCTGAGTGTCCAGCAACTGCTAGGGTGGGAACTCGTGCTGAACATATAGCTGGAACGAGTTCATTGTACATGGTTGGCCCTAGAATACCTACAAGAAAGAAACAACGGGAAAAGGACAATTTGCAAAATTAACATGCCAAACCTGCACACGCACGTACTTACGGTTTCACATAGTAACACAGAGCGACCTTCTGAGACTGCAAAAAATTATCACCTATCACATATCCTATGCGCTAGGCAATAGGATAGGGATGATGTCTTGTAGGGGATGGAAGAGTTTCGTTCACGTCTCTGGAAGTGAATGCTCAGCGTTGCGGAGGCAATTGATTTTCTGGGTCCCAATTGAACTATCCACATTTAATAAACCAGTGTAGTGGTGGTAGCATAGCCCGCTCTGAACGCGAGGTGTGGGTTAACTGCCTAAAATAGGGTTCGGTGCCGTTGCTAGCCTTAAGCACATTGAAAGGCACCCACAAGTCCGTCCGCATAGGATGTCGTCTGGCTATAATAACCTTGCACATCTACCTGAGAAAGCATGACCAGTCAAGCTTTGCGTCAGTCTCAAGGCAGAGTTTTAGCACGATTCTCAATTCTTTTATTCATCACTGACCGCCGAACAAATCGTTGTCAGAAACTGAAGTTCCAATCTCGTCCACATATTAAAACATGGTCTAGTAATGAAGACGACAACTCAGTGGGTTGTGCAGGATGATTTTTACCGACCAGCTACAAGTGTTGCCAAAACACCTGCAGGCAAACTCCTTTGGAGGTGTTGATTTCTAATGCATGTTAGCACATGAACAGGTGCGGACAGAGGGATGAATGAGATTGAAAGATGTTAAAGCGGTTAAATTGACCTGAACGTGCACGCATAGGACGTCAAAAAGATCAATGGTACATCAGACCTGTAAAGGATATCATAGCGGGTCGTAAAACTACGAGAGCGCTGTCACTGTAAGGACGTTGTTATGGTTCTGAACTTAATAATAACCTGAAGTAAACGAAATAATTCGTGCTCCTATTTCTGTATTAAGACAGTAAGGAGGGTTTGCAGACTCACCGAAAGTGACGTCATTTTCCGAATCAGTCGGTTTTGGAAACGAGAGTTTTGCGCGCGTGAGGAAGCAGATAATGGTAGATTTTGAGCGTTAGCCGCGGAAATGTGCTGTGTTCATCGCGAGTGATCCAAAAACGCCGCATGCGGATAGGTTTCAGAACACTGAAGACAGATTGGTTGAGAGAGGAATATTGAAGATGGTGCAGCGCAGCTTTGGAACATTTGCGCGAGTACTACCATGGCGTCTGTTTCTGCCGCTGTTTGAAGTACCGCGACAATTTTGCTCGGTCGATTTTTCCAGTCGCTGAGACATCTGGAAGACGCAATTAAAAGGATAAGCCAGGTAAAAAAGACTATAATGTGTATATTTCTCGGCGACCGGCTATAACTACAAAAAGAGAAGATCCCACAAACACCCCTATACATGCCGAGAAGTTTCTGTATGTCAGCAGGAAGTATGCGTGCATAACGGCTCCAATGACGAAGCATGACAATTAATGACTGCATTTAATATATATGTTTCTAACCGTGTTGGATGCGACGCGGTTTCCAATATCGTACACAGGAGGAAGGATCCTTCCTTCACTCGAATGAATCACGTTAACATCCT